TGAAGCATAAGTAGTAGGCCACGGCTTTAGCTCCTGCTAGTTAGCAACGTGTACACACTTTGATACTTTTTCCTCATGTGCACACTTTGGTCGTTTTTACTTTTAGCAAGTCTTTGCTTTTGGCTTTGTGTTGCTGTTCAGAGTTGTATTTACAACATTGAAGACAAATGTTAATTTTGTTAAAGTGTCCTGGTTTTCAATGTATTAGTCTCATGAAAGTGGTTCACTGATTCATATTGAAAAAGACGCCAAAAGAACTTGTGCCCACTTATTAAAATGATTTCCCAAAACGAAGGTGAAGACAAACTTTGTAATTAAGATGACCAGACATCCCACTTTTGGCGGGACAGTCCCGATTTTTAACAATTTTTCCTGGGTCCGCGGCCTTTTTAAAAAGTCCCGATTTTTGGAAAGAACGCATGACAAGCTAGGATATACGGTTTTCGGCTGCCATATGGCTATTTCGCCAGGATATGAGTTTTATCAATGGTATCCCACTTTACCAATGTTAAAATCTGGTCACCTTATTTATAATACATCCTCCGACAGCAACTGTTAATAATAAAGTAAAATGTATGCCAAATGAAATGAACAACTATTTAGTCAACAAAATGTTTAGGTATGATATCATTTCACCTGCATTAGATGCAAGATTGATGCTGGTTTCTTGAATGACTAACTTTGACTTTCTATTTCTTCTTCTTCTTCTTCTTCTTCTTCAACAACATGATTTCTTTTCCCGGATGCCATTGGCAATCCAGGCACCTTTCCCACCACCCAGGAGTTTTTGTAGCTCCTTGATCACCGATCATACAAAGGGTGACAGTGTAGACCAATTCGTAACCAGCACACCAACACCTTCCTACACAGAGTACTTTACTAGCCAGGAGCCTGTTCAGAGAACTATGCATTCTAACCAGGATCCCAGGCAGACAATTGTGTACTCTGAAGAATCTAACACAACTGTGTCATACACACAAAAAATCACCAATTCACTCCCTGCAGCGACCAGTGCAGGTGCCCTGCCATTTGCTGATATCAGCACACCATTTCTCCAAGAGGATTCTCAAACGCGGCGAATTTCTACCTTGACACTAGCCCCTAGACAGGAGGGAGCCAGCAGCAGAGGCCCCTTTGAGGCACCACTGCTCCCCAGACCTGCTGAAGTACCATCATTTCCCAGAAGGTCTTTCTCACCACCCCCTGACAAGGTGCCTGAGACACACACAGCATCTCTTTCCATTCAGATAGCTCCCCTTTCGGGCCACGATCCTGAAAGCCACAGACAGCTACCTGGGCTTTCTCCTGAGACGACAAAGATACCTCTTCGGCCAGAGAGACAAACATCTGCATTTGCTGAGGCTGCTCAGTCCTCCGACCGCCAAGTGGTACATGACCCTTTCCAGTCTCTTATGGCAGGCGTGTGAGAGAGACCCTAACTTCTGTGGTTTGGGCTTCTTATATAACCCAGTGCTTTGTTTGTGCATCCAAGCAGGAAGGGAAAGGAGAAAGAAACCATCTTCAGATTCAAAGCCCTACTCGATTCACCACGACATTGGCAGAGTTTATCCAGAAATCATCTTCTAACCATTTCCTACTTCCTAGAAATGTATAAGCAAATCACTGCAGGCTCAGTTACTGTGACAACGCCCACCACTCCAGTGCCGAAGTACTCTTAGATGTTCACACATTAAATTCTGTGCCAGACCTTTGGGGACCCAGAGTTACTTTATTCATATGGCTAGACCCTCTTGCAATGATGGTCAGCTACAGTTCTTTGGGCACAAAATTCTGACCATCAAGCATTGTTGGCCGTTGGCCCTTTGTAAATATCCACTGGTCTGCATTCAGTTTCTCCCTTTTGTAAATGGTATGTTTCAAATATTGTCTCAATCAACATCTACTACTCAGAATGTTGAGAGGTAAACCTTTTTTTCTACATGTGTAAAATTCTTTCATAGCCTAAGCCCCTAGCACTGGTAATAAGGGCAGGCATGGTAATATTAAAAACATTGTTTAAGTATATCGTACGCTGCTATGTCTATAGTTGGGCCATGGAAGATCATCCCAAACATACCCTTGAAGAGATATATTTTAAAACTTTGTGGAAAATCTCCAACAGATATGTTTGACAGCAAACACCACCTATATGAACACAGGTAAAGCGAAGCCCTTCCGAAGTGGTGGTTAAAGAGGCATGCACCTTTTATACCTCTACTACAGTGTCTCCTTCACCAACCAGGGAGGGTCGACAAAATGCAGTCATGAAAGCAATTTCTTTACATTCAGTTCATATCTTCTGAGAGAGAGAAAACCAACAAAACACAACTAACCAAACCGATTGCCTTCCGTTGGTTTGCACTCGTCAGGACTCTGTGGGAGAGAAGAGCCTGCCCCGGGGTCTCTGGGGCTGTGAATCTTTATGGAAGCCTGGTGCTGCATCTTTCCACCCCGAAGCATGGGGTTGGTTTACTGCTGACCTCTCCTCCCCTTAGCAGCGGGGCAGTTACTCACTGCACCTCCCTATAAGGTGATCATAGCAAACAACAGCAATAATAATAATAACCACCTCTTCCTGTTGGGTTGACTCAGGCTGACCCATGTGAGTAAAAGTACTGGGCTCAGTAGGGTTTTCAGGGGCTGCCTTTATAGAAATAGATCAGTTCTGAGGGTCCTCCGGGTAGACTTGAACTGCCAAGTGTTTGGTTAGCAGCCAAGCACACTAACGGTGAATACCCCTCGGAACACCCACAGTAATCGCAGCAAACATGAAGGTTGTACTACCTACAAGCCCTGTACATGTTGGGCTACTAAATCCAGGGTCGGTAGTCTGAACCTCTAAGCTGCTCCTTGGAAGAAGGAGAAGGCTGTCTGCTCCTTGGAAACCCACTGGAGCAGTTCGAGTCGCCTATAGAGACGGCCTCACCACGAGTTCAGTGGTTCAAACTCGCCAGCCACTGAGAAGGAAGGAGATGAAGTTATCCGCTCCCAGAGAGATTTAAAGTCTCAGACCCATAAAGATTTACAGTCCCAGATATCCTACATAGGGTCACTATGAGTGGAAACTGACTCCAGTTCAATTCGAAGGGTGTGGTTTTGATGTGCCAAGTACAGGTGTTAGGAGCCCCAGCTTGGTCGTGGAATGCGCTTTGCTTTGAGAGCTCCCCGGCCAGCTGTTCCGTGGACCAGGCACTGGGGGAAGAGCGATGAGGCCGCCTGCTTCCCCGACAGGTTACAGCCTTTAAACGCGGTGGGGAAGTCTCACTGTCCTCAATGGTCGCTATGAGTCAAATTCACCTCACTGCCAGGGAACTTGGTTTTGGAATATGATATACTGTGCTAATCAGAGATCTGGAATTGGAACAATTAATTTTTTTCTTTTTTAATTGGGAAGAGGGGGACAAGCATTAAAAAAAAAAAAAAGAATACTTGGGTAAATCACTTACCGCCACCAACAGGAGGAAGCATGTCTATGGAAATAAAACTGGGTAGTCCTACACAGTGATGTGGGGAGCAGCTTCCATTCTGAATACACCCACACACGGCCACTGAGTCAATTCTGACTCAGAGAGACTCTATATAGAAGATTCCTGAGACTAACTGTTTATGAGATCTGATAGCCTCAGCTTTCTTCCAATGAGTGGCTGGTGGGTTTGAACCCCTGACTTTGCAGTCAGCAGTCCAATGCCTAACCTACAGTATCACAGAAAAGCAGAGAGAATGTCTAGTTCAAAGGCTTTTAAGTCTAAGGCATGTTGGGACTGCTCAGGATAGAGAGTCACATGAGACGACACTGGAGGCCACAGAGGTCCTTGTGAGCTCCTGCAAAGACCCCCACTTCTTATCAGGAGGAAGGGAGTGTGATAGGGTGGCTACTTGACTTATCTTAGAACAGAATCAGTCTGGCAGCTGAGCAGGGGACAGCTGAGAGTGGGTCAAGGAGGAGAGCAGGCAAACCAGTTTGGTTGGTATCACATTGCTTCAGGGGAGAAAGGACAGTGGCCAGAAGCACTTTGGAAGCAGTAGAGGGGAGAGAACTGGCAGATTCTGAAGGTAAGTTCAAAGTCGAGCAAACAGGACTTCAAGGCAGATTGCCTGTGTGAGCTGAAGGAGAGTGAAGAGTCAAGGTTGACTCCAGTAGGCAAATGGAAAAGATAAATTACCCTCAGTGAGCCTAGAAAACTGGAAAATTCAGAGCTGGCATTTGGTACACGTCACGGTTGAGACAGGAGTTCCGGGGTTGGCTTGAATAGTTAAGCTCTTGATAATAAGTGCTTAAGGTTGGCTGTTCTACTTGCCTGAGGAACCTCAGAAGACAGGTTTGGCAATCTGCTTCGGAAAGCCCCATGGCACAGTTCTACTGTGGAGTGGCTTCACAGAATAGACCAGAGAGCAGCAACGACCTGAGATCTCTGTGGACCTCCACGGAGAGAGGGCAAGCGGACTGCTGGAGACCTGAATCAAGAGTTCAGGAGAGAAGCACTTGGAGACATCGGCTTACACGTGTAGCCACGAGATCACTCAGGAAGTAAATTTAGAGAAAAGAAAAGGCTGGAGCCTGGTGCTTCCCAGCATTAGGAAGAGGAGCCAGCAGAGGAGGAAGGCGTGCCTGGTCAGGAAGGCGGACAGCCAGAAAACACGGTGTCCAGGTGAGGACACCAAACTGTGGACGGCCAACTGAGGCGAGTCTAGCAAGGGGAAGGGAGGGCCAACTGTGGAAACACTGCTGATGGAGCAAAAGCAAGATGCGACCTCAGACTGCCTTTTAGTAAGGTGGACGGAGCGCATGCTAATTTTCTGTGTTTCATGGAAAGGGCGCTTGCTTGGAGGGGGTTTCAGAAGGCAGTTTGACAGCGAGTTCCTTCAAGATGCTGTTAAGCTAAGACCTTCCATGGAAGTTATGCGCCGTCCCCAAGTCTCAGCTCTTTCATCTACAGAGTGGAGATAAACCTACATTCGTCACACAGAGCTGCTAAGAGATTTGAGTAAGACAAGGCAGACAAGGTGCTTATTGGTATAGTGCCTGCTACCGAGTAATCTATTCAAGGTGCTGTAGCTGTTAGAAGCTTCAAATCATATTTTTCCAGATCAAATGTCTAGTGGGAAAAGAAAATATGTAATTTATTATGTTTATATATATATATGAGATATATATATATATATATAAAATGCTTCCTTTTTTAAAAGTATACTGTTTCACGCAATGGTCTTTTGCAATGCTGACCTTTCCATCTTAAGTTCTATAGTCTCACAAGAAAGTTTAGTAAAGGTCAGGAGCTATAAACGACACACTACGGAACAGCCAAATATAAGATCAAAAGAACTTGCCTCCCAAGAAATCAGCAGGCCCAGGAACCAAAGCTCCTGTACACTAAAAAGAGGCAATGTCAGTATTCTAGAAGTTTCATCTGCATATTTTGTGTTGTTGTTAAAATCTGGCCATTAATTCAACTAAAAAGAAAACTGTCACCTATTTTAGGGATTGCAATTGTGTTCATCTCAGCAGCCTTGGTGGTGCTGTGGATAGGGATGGGGCTGCCCCACACAAGGTCAGTGGTTCAAACCTTACTAGCAATTCTGCCGAATAACAAGGAGTTTGGACACTCTGTAAAGATTGACAGTCTTGGAAATCATATGTAGGACTGTGATCAGCTGGAATGGATAGCAGTGGAATTTTCACAGCGTATTGTTTGATTAATTGAATGTTTTAATTTACCACCTACAAAATTATGTATAAAGAAACCACATCCTGTGGTTGAAATGGTTCCATTGTTTTCCACCGCAGATGAGCGAAGGTATAAACAAGGAGCTCTGAAAAGACCGCAAAAAGCCCTACCCTCAACAGTTTCCCCTGGCTGCGCTCTTTGCTTCAGGAAGATAAACTTGGACCTTCTCGTATGAAATATTCTAATCAATCATTTGCCTAAGCTTCCCTGTCACAGCTGCTGCTGCAGATATGTGGAGGACACAAAGGAGGATTAGCAGCACTGTCGTGGGGATTAGTCTGATAGGGGGATCAATGGGATCAATATGCAGAGGATAAGCAAGGGGGGATGATAAAAATGTCAGAATGTAGGGTGATGGAAAAGATTCAGAACTGTAGAGTACTCTTTCTGGACCTCTCCCATCCTTGCCAGCCCTGTGCGCTGATGAACTCTAGTAATGTAGCCAACAGTATCACAGGAATTCTGATCTGTGAGTTTATTAAATGATTAGTTGGTCAGGTATTCGGCAACCTCTCCATTGGACGTGTGTGTGTGTGTGTGTGTGTTTAAAGGGTGGAGAATATTCAAATGTCCAATATGAATTTAGTAATCATCAAGCTCGCCTCTACATAATTCCCAGTACGTAGCTATGCTGCCTCTTCTTGAAAACCCTTAGAAGTGGC